GGGGGGGGGGAAGGGAAGAGGCAGTTCAAAATCTACTGAGACCATCAGCATCACTCGGTAGTTCAGTCCAAAAATAGTTTTGTTCAGTTACGAAGAACTCAGTTCATTTTGATTGGATAGGTGTTGTGATAAACCCGGTTCAATGGATGAAGTGTGACGGCCGAAGTATTAATCAATTTTTGGGATTCCCAATTGATGAAATCACTTGCAGTTTTGGCGGATTCCTTAGAAGTGACAACGGATTCGTATGAAGTTATGGCAAGTTCACATGAAGTTATAAGGGTTTCACACGAAGATGAGAGAAGGAGAATGGGATACTACAAAATGCAACTTATTCCAATTTTTTGCACATTCATTCATTCACGAGTAGTTACCTTGTTGCTTGTCCTCATTCAACGCTGCTGAATTCGATGCTTGAAATGAAATAAAAGAACTGTCGGACTGAACGAGCTCATTTGTTCCGGTCAGTTGTGAACGAGCTCCTTTACCCGGTCGGCTGATTTCTCCCGGGGACTTGGCACGTGGAGATTGTGGGGGAAGACGTGGATTGGATTCTGCAATTTGTTGTTGTACCCCTGAAGACTCAGTCGATCGATGCGTGGCTTCAGTCGACTGGGATACGACGAGCCGCGGTGCGTCGGGTGAAGTGGTGGTGTTGATTGTGACTGACTTTATTGTATTCTGTTCAGAGCTCGCGAAGTCGAAACCAGTCAAGCGTTGTTTGAATCGAGCATTGATCATATCAAGTTCTTCCAGTTGCGTACTAGAATGACAATGCCGGAGCAGAAGGAAAAGAAGATGAGGTAATGTGAAAATGTCCTTCTGTATCTATACCAGCTAATTCCTAACAGAGCGAGAACAGTGAAAGCGAACGTTTCATATGGGACACAGCTAATTTGTTGCACAAAAAAATGATTTTAAACTCAAACCATCGCGTGGCTATGAGGGAAAACGAGGAACCAGTAAAGCACTGAGTTGTTACATTTCTTGCATGCATTCTCTCCCGCTAGGTTTTACTTGGTTTGCGTTCTTCTCTGCACAAAACACCACACTCACTTGACAATCATTTCACACCACGGAGTAAGGTTGCTGCTCTTTGGGCGTTTTACCTACCTAACGAACAAACCGCGAAACCACCGGCTCGTTGGGATTAATCTTTTTGGCTTGTAGACTGCATTCTGATGTGCAGAGGCTAAAGATGCCATATAGAACCAAAGGAGTCTGACTTGGTGTGGATACCTTTGTCCTACTCTGGTCAGAAGGAGAAGGAGATCACGATATCGGTTACGCTGACTTTAAGCCGCTAGAAATGATCCGCAAGATCCAAGAAACAATTGAACCTGTAGCAGTGTGTTTTGGTCAGCGTGCTGACGCATGCATCGAACGGGAAGATATGATGTTGGTATGTTTATGCAAGAGATTTGGACTCAGGCTACCCCATAAGTAGTGTTTATCCTTAATTTTGTTTAATAAGTGTAGCTTGGACAATGAAACTCAAATTTCCATTTCACATTTTTGAAAATATGAGCATTTGTGTAAAAGACATTGGGACCTGCTGATGTGCATCACAACGAGACGGCGACTTGCGTACCCCCATGACCCTGCGAGCTATACAGGATGGCTTTCTACAGCCGCAGGTCCAATCGAACCTGAACGGTCAGTGGGTAGAGGCCATACAAAACTCAGCCTCACAAGAACAGTTGACTGAGCATCTTCTGACTTCCTTTACCTACCAACCCTCGTTTCTACAGAGGTTACTCTAGCAAATAAACACGGGGAAGTGCAGTTTATCGGTAAAAAAAACTTGCTACGCGGATGTAGGAGCGGGGTACTTGGAGTTTCCTCTCGACGCCGGTGAAAATCTTCACACTTCATTGAACAGCTGCTGCACGCTCAAGCTGTGCTGTTCCGTCCACGGCCCACTTGTCTCACTGGGTGCATGAGGCTGAGGGCCAATCCCGAACAGCGAACCCTCAATGGATGCATCACCGAACATGCTAAACCGAAACACAAAGACATTGCGTGACAGCTCTCTGAAAGCTCCCACACAGGTGCCTCGGTTACACTTCCGCGTTGAATCCACACCCTACTGCCTTGTGGGTCAGACTTTTGCGCAGAAGGCTCGGTTGGGGTTCGCAAAGAAAACCCCTTTCTTCGGCGTGGGCTGCCGCGATCTATGTCGTGCCCTAAAGCTTCGGGCATTCATTTGGAACACCCTCTTCCTCATCTACCTAGTTCTTCATAGCAGTGATATACCTAACGAGTTCCCTTCTGTTTACGCTAGCCGTAGGATACTACTCATTGTCCAACTATTAAAGTCAACCAATCAAAAGCTTCATTTAGCTACACTCAATGTCCGCACAGTCTATCAGATAGGCCAACATACCGTCTTAGCTAGAACCATTGTAACTTTCAACGTAGACGTATGTTGCCTACGAAACACGCATACAAAACCGCACGCCGGTTACCATCTTGCGTTTCTCTAATCTTCCCCTGTCCTCACGCTTTAGGCGATTCGGTATCTGACGCCTGCAATGTTGCTGGTGTCAAGATTGTGGTTACTGCCAAGATGGAGCGTTAACTTTTGCCTGGATTCTGATTAGTAGCCGATTTTGAGCTGTACGTCTCGACAGTTCAGTACGGGTCAATAGCAACAGAACGAAGCATCGTTGTGTCCGTGTATGCAACGACTAACTGCACTTCGCCTGAAATCAAGGATGAATTCTACAAGGATCTTTCTCAACTGCTTCGGTCAACGGGGGCCTTATTACTCGCTGGAGACTTCAATGCTCAATTGGGATTTCCGAACGAATTAAAAAGGTTTTTAACACATCGGGACCAAATGATGCTAGGAGTGTATCGAAAAGGTGCCTAGGTGGCTCGCGCGCAATCCAAGCTAACCGGACGAACAACAGAGATCACCTACTGGAACTCTGCGCAGACCATGGATTGTTCCTGTCAGACACCAAACTCTCCCACAAAGTACGACACAACTTTGCACGGGAACCTCTTCACAACGATGGACCCAAAACAACCCCATTGCCACCAGCCACTGCTGGTGGGGATCCATTCATGACTGTCGTTTTGATTGATCAACATCCGTGGACAAGGACTATGTTTTGCTACGACCCGGAATCTCCGTACGCCTGGTAAACCACCACAACAAAGCCGCCAGTAACGCAAACTAACTATGTAATGTAAGAAACAATTGCAAATCAGCCTTCGAAACGGAGTTCTCTGATCGCCTCTCAGTTCAACCAACTACCGAAGGACTCGATGAAAACTGGATGTTAATCAAAGAAGCTATCCAAATGTCGATCAAAACAACGATGGAGCACGATCAAAACACATACGACAGATCTGATCAACCTCAGTTGCTCTGTTGCACGCTTGCACCGTCCTTCCTCTGGATGCCAAATACGACACAGCGCACAAACTCTCAAAACGCCAGCTCATCAACAGTGCGTGAAATGGTGGGTGGAAAAATGTAGTCAAAAAAAGCTGTGGCTTTTGGTGATGGTCGCAATATTTTGCGTCTTATTAGGGGTACAGACCCAAGGAAAGTAGGTGTGAGTAAGTCCATAATGAATCCAATAACACACTGATCTACATACAGCAACGTCATCTTGAGCGACTGGCAGAACATTTGAAGTCAAGTTCAACATCCCCCCCCCCACACGCACTCATCGACATCAGGCCTGTTCATTCCTATCTCAACTGGACAATTATTGCAATTGATTTCAGTAATCCATTTGAAATAGAAGTTTCCCGCGAAATAAGTTACCTCAAAAGATATAAGGCTTCCGGCCCCATAGTCTGTCCCCACTGGCTTTTAAAAAAGGAAGGGTCCAACCTTGGTCCTAGATTTGAAACCTCTGAGTCTAGTATGGGAAAGGGAACTAATTTCAACTGACTCATTCATTTTACCGATTTAAAAGAGAGATGATAAGTCCTCTTTTTAAAAAAATCACAGAGGAATGAATTTGATCAAAATTTTCTCCGAACTTCTTCGGATGAATAATACTCCGCCAACTGTTTGCGCACGCAACCGGCGCACGCTAGAGAATCAGGCTGGATCTAGACTGGATTATAAGGGCTGCATCGATCGCATCATTTTCATTCTTCGTCAAGTCTAGAACACAGATATTCTTTACGCAGACCCAAAATTCCTATCATCCTCGATCTGAATGCGTCCTTCAACTCAGTCGACTGCTCTAAACTCTGACGTTGCATTTCTCTCAACGGTGTGCCATAGCTGAGACCACGTTTATGATGCTTTTTTCACCATTGAAAGTGATGTCCGAATAGGANNATTGCTCTCCATTTCTAATTAAGTTTATCATGGATTGGATTCTGGAAGCAGCTCGGTCCTTGTGCGAGGATATCAGCATCGATTTGCTCCCAGGTGACAAACTGTCTGATCTGGAGTATGCAGATGACATTGTGCTACTAAGTGAAGATCCAGGTAAGTTACAAACTTTTCTGGGTAGCTTGAGTGCCAGCGAAGCCATGTTCGGTACGATGTGACCGAAATCCTGTTAGTGTTAACTTAATACCCTCTATTTCCACTGCTAGGATATTACAAATCTGTCCTTCTTAAACGCAGAACACGTCTGGTCTTCTTCTTGGTGTGTGTTTTGGTTGTCCCACACAGACCTATACTGTGAAGTTCACCATCTAAAATGACACCTTCCGGTTAAATGTCTAAGGAGGTATGGATATCAGCCAGTGCGGTATTGCCCA